CAGTATGTCTCCCGTTTCCCGGTCCCTAGGGCTGTCTATGGACTTACCAGTCACTAATTCCATTACTTTGTTTCTAAAATAATTATGTACTGATCACCACTGAGTTCTCCATTCTTTTTCTTAAGGCATTCTTTATTTATCACATTTTTTAAAAGCTTTATTGAGATATAATTAACAAACAATAAGCTGAACATATTTAAAATGCACAATTTGAGGTCTTGACCTGTGTTCGCCTATGAAACTATCACTACGACCGAGATAATAGACATATCCATCACCCCCAAAATTTGTGTCCCTTTTGCGATCCCTCTCTCCTGACCCACACCCCCAACCCCAAGCAGACACTAATCTGCTTTCTGTCTGGAGTTCTCTGTAAATGGAATTATACATCAAATTTTGTGTATGTTGCGAGGTATAGATCCAAGTTGATTGGGTTTTTTTACATGTAGATATTCAATTGTTCCAACACTATTTGCTGAAAAAGCTATCCTCCTATTCCAAGTTTGCCAAGTGTCTTCTTTTTTTTTTTTTTTTTTTTTTCAACCTGCCTTTATTGCTTTAAATAGAGTGAATTTCTAATACACAGCAGCTAGTTAGGTCACGTGTTTTTTTTTTTTTTTTTTTTTTTTTTTGAGACAGAGTCTCGCTTCTGCCTCAGCCTCCTGAGTAGCTGGGACTACAGGCATGCACCACCATGCCCGGCTAATTTTTATATATATATATATTAGTTGGCCAATTAATTTCTTTCTATTTATAGTAGAGACGGGGTCTTGCTCTTGCTCAGGCTGGTTTCGAACTCCTGACTTTGAGCAATCCGCCCGCCTCGGCCTCCCAGAGTGCTAGGATTACAGGCTTGAGCCACCGCGCCCGGCCTGCCAAGTGTCTTTATCATGAGTGTTGAGTTTTTGTCAAATGCTTTTTCTGCCTCCATTGAAATGATCAGATGGGCAGTCTTGTTCCCACCATCATGTGGCCTAGGCTCATCCTTGCCAGGCTGGCCCAACGTGCCCGGACCCCACCATTCACTACCCTTTGAAGCCTCAAGTCACTCAATGTCCCTAATTCCAAAATGTAACTAATGACATTTACCTCATAAATAAGACTATTAAGTAGATTGAAAGAAAATACATGGGAAATGTTAGTGTACTGTTGTCCACATTGGCCTGTTAATGTATGACATCGATTTTCTTATATTGAACCACCCTCACATTTGTGGGATAAATCTCCTTTGGTCATGGTATATAATCCTTTTCAATGTGCTACTGTATTGGATTTGCTGTACCAGTTTGCTGTAATAGTATTTTGTTGAGCAGTTTTGTATCTATATTCATAAGGAATTCTGGTCTGTAGTTTTCTTGTGCAATCTTGTTCCCTGGCTTTGGGATCAGGAGAATGCTGGCCTCACAGAATGTGCTGGGAAGTAAGCTCTCCACTTCTGTTTTTTGGCAAAAAATTTCAGTAGGATTGGTATTCATTCTCTAAATGTTTGGTAGAATCGACTGGTAAAGACATTCTGGTCCTAGACTTTTCTTTGTTGGGAGGTTTTTATTACTGATTCAATCTTTTAACTTAATATAGGTCTGTTGAGATTTTCTATTTCTTTTAAAATCAGTTTTATAAGTGGTGTGTTTCTAGGAATTTGTCCATTTCATCTAGATTATCTTATTTGTTGGCATGCAATTGTTCATAGTGTTCTCCTATAACCATTCTAATTTCCATAAAGTCAATAGTAATATCCCCAGTAGTAATGTTTCTGCTTTTATTTCTAATTTTAGTTACTTGCATCTTCTCTTTCTTAGTCTAACTAAAGTTTTGTTAACTTTTTTGATCTTTCAAAGAACCAACTTTTGCTTTCATTGACTCTGTTTTTAAACTCTCTATATCGTTTGTGCTCTAATCTTTATTGTTTCCTCCCTCCTTCTGGCTTTGGGTTTAGTTTGCTCTTCTTTTTCTAGTTCCTTAAGGTGTAAAGTTAGGTTATTGATTTGAGATCTTTAGGCAATTACAGCTATTAATTTTCCTCTGAGTACCACTTTTACTACATCCTGTAAGTCCTTAGTATGTTTTCAATGGTTTAAAGTATTTTATAATTTTTTTGGTTGTTTCCACTTTCTACATATTTGCAAATTTTCAGGTTTTTGTTTTTTTTGTTTTTGCTTTGTTTTAAAGACAGGGTCTAACTCTGTAGCCCAGACTGGGGCATAGCAGCACAATCATGGCTCACTGTAACCTGAACTCCTGGCTGGTCTCAAGTGATCTCCCACCTCAGCCTCCCAAAGTTCTGGTACTACAGTTTTCTTTGTGCTATTGATTTCTAGCTTCATTCTGTTGTGGCCAGAGAAGATACTTTATGTGAGTTCAGTCCTTTAAAATTCATTGAGAATTCTTTTATTTCTATGTTAATAAGGGATTTTGGCCTGTAGTTTTCTTTTGTGTCTTTGTCTAGCTTTGGTATCAGGGAAATTATGAATTAGAATAAGTTTGGAATTACTCCTGCCTCTCATTTTTTTGGAATAGTTTGAGAAAGATTGAAATTAATTTTCCTTTAGATGTTTAGTAAAAAAATTTACCAGTGAAGTCATTTAGTCCTGGGCTTTTCTTTGTTGGGAGGTTTTTTAATTTATTAAGATTTGGGCCATGTGAGGTGGCTCACGCCTGTATTCCTAGCACTCTGGGAGGCCGAGGCAGGAGAATCACTTGAGCTTATGAGTTTAAGACCAGTCTAAGCAAGAGCGAGACCTTGTCTCTACCAAAAATAAAAAAATTAACTGGGCGTGGTAGTGTGCGCCTGTAATCTCAGCTACCAGGAGGCCGAGGCAAGAGGATTACTTGAGCCTGGGAGTTTGAGGTTGCAGTGAGCTATGATGATGTCACTGCACTTTTCCTGGGACCAAAAGAAACTGTCTCAAAAAAAAAAAAAAAAACAAAACAAAGATTTTGCTTTGTGGCCTATGGTCTATTGTCTATCCTGGAGAATGTTTCACATGCACTTCAGAAGAATGAATGCTGCTGTTGGGTGGAGTATTCTGTATATGTCTGTTAGGTCCAGTAGGTTTATGGTATTTTTCAAGTCCTCTATTTCCATCTTCTACCTAGGACATTCCATTCATTATCAAAAGGAAGGGATTAAAGTCTCCAACTATTATTTCTATTTCTAGACAAATACTGCATGTCCTCACTTATATGTGGAATCTAAAACAATCAAACTCATAGAAGCAGAGAGTATACTGGTGGTCACCAGAGGCCACAGGATAAGGAGAATGGGAAGATGTTGGTGACAAGAGTCCAAAGTTACACTTAGACAGGAAGAACAAGTAAGTATTTAAGGAGGTAGATATGTTAATTAGCTTGATTAAATCATTCTACATGATATACATATATTATAACATCACTTCATAACCCATAATTACATATGATTATAATTTATCAAAAAAAATAAAATTTCTTTAAAAATAAAAAGTAATTAAATAAATTTGGGAGGCTGAGGCGGGAAGATCACTTGAGGTCAGGAGTTCGAGGCCAGCCTGGGCAACACAGCAAAACTCTTTCTCTACAAAAAATAAGTTTTGGCCGGCGCGGTGGCTCACGCCTGTAATCCTAGCACTCTGGAAGGCCGAAGAGGGCGGATTGCTCAAGGTCAGGAGTTCGAAACCAGCCTGAGCAAGAGCAAGACCCCCATCTCTACTATAGTAAACAGAAAGAAATTAATTGGCCAACTAATATGCATAGAAAAGATTAGCTGGGCATGGTGACGCATGCCTGTAGTCCTAGCTACACAGGAGGCTGAGGCAGCAGGATTGCTTGAGCCCAGGAGTTTGAGGTTGCTGTGAGCTAGGCTGACGCCACAGCACTCACTCTAGCCTGGGCAACAAAGCGAGACTCTCTCACAAAAAAAAAACAATGTTTTTAACTTAGCCTGGCATGGTGGTGCATGCCTCTAATCCTACCTACTAGAGAGTCTGAGATGGATCACTTGTGCCCAGGAGTTTGAGGCTATAGTGAGCTATGATCACACCACTGCACTCTAGCCTGGGTGACAGAGACAGACCCTGCCTCTAAAAAAAATAGTAAATAAATAAAATAATGCTGCTACAAACATTTTTGTATACATTTATGGAGGGCATATATTTTCATTTTCTTTTTATGGGTGTGAAATTGATTTATCATTACTAGGTTCATATTTAAAAGTATAAGAAAATTTTAACTGTTTTCCAAAGTGGTTGTACCATATCACACCACCATTAGTTAACACATGAGAATTTAAGTTATTCCCCATATTCTAAAAATTAAATCTCTTTAATTCTATCTAAAAGAAAAAAAGTAAACTATTTCTTCATTTCTGTCAGTATTTGCTTCATATATTCTAGGACTCTGTTGTTTGATGCATATATGTTTATAATTGCTGAATCTTCTTGAGGAATTGATTCTTTTATCAATATAAAATATCGTTTGTCTTGTGTGGCAATTTTTGACTTAAAACGTATTTTGTCTAATATTAGTATAGCCATTTTCGCTCTTTTGGTTACTCTTTGCATGAAATATCTTTCTTCATCCTTTCACTTACAACTTATTTGTGTCTTTAGGTATAAAGTGAATCTGTAAAGCAACATATACTTGAACTTTTTGTATTAACCATTTGAATCTGAGTAGCTTGGACTACAGGTGCATACCGCTGTACCCAGTTTATTTTTAATTTCTTGAGGAACTTCTATATTGTTTTCCATAGTGGCTGCACCATTTTACATTCCTACCAACAGTGTACAAGGGTTCTAATTTTTCCACATCCTTATCAACACTTGTTATTTTCTGGTTTTTAAAAAATATACATATTATTTTTTAAAAAAATAAAAAAATATTTTTTATTTTGAAATAATAAAAAAAATTTATTATTTTGAAATAATCCATCCTAATGGGTACGAAGTGGTATCTCATTGTGATTTTGATTTGCATTTCCCTAATTATTACTGATGTTGAACATCTTTTCATTTGCTTATTGGCCATTTGTATGTCTTCTCTGGAGAAATGTCTATTCCAAGTCCAGTTGGATCATTTCAAAATTCATTCCAGGTGAGCACCATGGTACATGCCTGTAATCCACAGGAGGCTGAGGCAGAAGGATCACCTAAGGCTCAGGAATTAGGGGCTGCGGTGCACTCTGATTGTGCCTGTGAATAGCCAGTGCACTCCAGCCTGGACAACAGAGCAAGACCTCCTCCATCTCTAAGATAAAAAAAAATAAAAATAAAAAAAAATCCATTCTGCCAATCTCTCTTTTGAGTAGTAAAATTTACCTAATATAAATTTACCATTTTAATCATTTCTAAGCATATAATTCAGTGTCATTAAGTATATTCACAGTGTTGTGCAGCCATATCCAATCACTCTTTTAATTGGTGCATTTAATCCATTTACATTTAATGTGATTACTTATATTGAAGGACTTACTTCTGCCATGGTATTGTTTTCTATATGTTCTATCTTTTTGTTCCTCAATTCCTCCAATAATGACCTCTTTTGTGTTTGATTGACTTTTTTTCTAGTGCAACATTTTTAATTTCTTCTTCATTGTCTTTTCTATATATTCTTTAGTTGTTTTCTTAGTGGTTATCATGAAGATTACATTAACTCCCTAAAAAAAACACCCTACTTATTGTCAAAAACCATGGAGGCCAGAAACCAGTGGGATGATATATTTACAGTACTAACAGGAGGAAAAAAACCCAGAAAAAACCCTGTCAACCAACGGTTGTATATCCAGCAAAACTATCATTCAAAATAGGCCGGGTGCGCTGGCTCACGCCTGTAATCCTTGCACTCTGGGAGGCTGAGGCGGGTGGATTGCTCGAGGTCAGGAGTTTGAAACCAGCCTGAGCAAGAGCGAGACCCTGTCTCTACTATAAACAGAAAGAAATTAATTGGCCAACTAATATATATATAGAAAAAATCAGCTGGGCATGGTGGCACATGCCTGTAGTCCCAGCTACTTGGGAGGGAGGCTGAGGCAGCAGGAGCCCAGGAGTTTGAGGTTGCTGTGAGCTAGGCTGACTCCATGGCACTCACTCTAGCCTGGGCAACAAAGCGAGACTTTGTCTCAAACAAACAAACAAAAAAAAAAATGAAGGAGAAATTAAACAGATAATTCCAGATAAACAAAAACTAAGGCAATTTATTTCTAGTAGACCTGCTCTACAAGAAATGCTAAAGGGAGTCCTTCAGACTGAAATAAAGGGCACTGGATTATAACTCAAAGCCATACAAAGAAATAAAGATCATTGGTAAATGTAACTATATAGGTAAATATAAGATGTATGTATTGGCCGGGCGCGGTGGCTCACGCCTGTAATCCTAGCACTCTGGGAGGCCGAGGCGGGTGGATTGCTCGAGGTCAGGAGTTCGAAACCAGCCTGAGCAAGAGCGAGACCCCGTCTCTACTATAAATGGAAAGAAATTAATTGGCCAACTAATATATATAGAAAAAATTAGCCGGGCATGGTGGTGCATGCCTGTAGTCCCAGCTACTCGGGAGGCTGAGGCAGCAGGAGCCCAGGAGTTTGAGGTTGCTGTGAGCTAGGCTGACTCCATGGCACTCACTCTAGCCTGGGCAACAAAATGAGACTCTGTCTCAAAAATAAATAAATAAATAAAATAAAATAAATAATAAAATAAAATGTATGTATTATTATAAATAATACGTAGTATTATATTTTTGGTATATAACTTTTTGTTTCCTATATGATTTAAAATAAATGCACAATTATAAATCTATGTTAACATAACCACAATATATAAATTTGTATCAATAGCAACATAAAGGGAAGGACAGAATTGGAGTAATGTAAAATTGAGCTGGTATCTATTCCAACCGATTATTATAAATAATTCTTCCTCTTCCTTTTTTTCCTCTTCTTCTTCCACTTCCTCTGCCTCCTCCTCCTCTTCCAGATGAAGTCTCACTATGTTGCCCAGGATGGCCTGCATTTTGCCTACGTTGCTAAATTTATAGGCATAAGGTTGCTCCTAATATTTCCTAAATAGTCTTATATTATCTGAAGAACCTGTAGTAATGTCTCCACTCTCATTCCTGATATTTGTGTCTTCTTTTTTCCTGATCAATCTGGCTAGAGAGCTAGAGATTTATAAATTTTATTGATCTTCTCAAGAAGCACCTTTTGGTTTCATTGATTTTGTTTTCCTGTTTTCTAATTTTTAAAATTTCTGCATTGGTCTTTGTTATTTCTTTTCTTCTGCATGTTTTGTTTTTATTTATTTTTTTGTGACAGGGTCTCACTCTCTTGCCCATGCAAGAGTGCAGTGGCATCATCATAGCTCACTACAACCTCAAACTCCTGGGCTCAAGCTATCCTCCTGCCTCAGCTTCCTAAGTAGCTGGGACTATGGGTGTGTGCCACCATGGCTACCTAATTTATTTAATTTTTTTTGTAGAGACAGTCTTGATGGTCTTGAACTTCTGGGCTCAAGCATTTCTCCTGCTAGGATTACAGGTGTGAACCATTGCACCCGGCCCATACTTTGGTTTTAAGTGATAGTTGAGGTCATTGACATGAAACCTTTCTTTCTTTCTTTTTAAATAGAGGCATTTAGGGCTAAAAATTTTCTCTCCATTTTAGAGACATCCCACAAATTCTAATATGTTGTTTTCATTTGCATTCAGTTTAGAATATGCTTCCCACTTTCTTGTGGGGTGAAGACCAAGCTCTGGCAGCAGCCTAGGGTGGGTGGTCTCCCTATTCTCCAGACTCAAAGGCCTGAGAGCACCAGGAGATCCACCTGGAGTTCCCAGACTCAGGCATATCTTTTATTCCTTTCCCTCTATCCGATTCCCCGCTACAGCCAGTGGGTGGTGTCTGGAGGCAACAGAGCAAAGTTCCCATCTGCCCTCTGGTTTCCAGTTGGGTAGGCCTCTGCATTAGACTGGCCTTCATCCAACCTTCTCTGGAAGGGGCTGAGGAAACCTAAGGCCAGACCAAGTGACCCTCATGTCCCCACCACTGGCTGCCTCTAGCTAGTAGGGCCTGGCTCCCAGAACCTCACACATACCCCTAAGGGTTTCTCTGGCAAGAATAAAAAACAGGGTGACCTAGGTCATACCTTTTCTCCATTACCACCTGATGACCCAGGAGGGCTTTAGCCTGCTTCAGCTGCCACAACCTTGATGTTCTTGGATGGTTTCCATCACCTGGCAGTGAGGGGTTTTCCCAAACCTGTGTGATTTTGGAGGTTAGAGGGGTAGAGGAAGGCCTGCTACAAAACTATACACACACACGTATATAAATGATACATAGGTGTATGTACACACGATGTTTGAGGTAACTGTAGATTCACATGCGTTGTGAGAAATAACACAGAGATCCCTTGTACGCCTTGCTTAGCTTACCCCTTGGTAACACTTGGTAAACATGATCACAACCAGGAGGGCGACGCTGGTAAACGCCACCAGTCTTACCCAGATTTCTCCGTTAAGTGTGTGTCATTTTGATGATCACACCACGAAAGCTCCGACCCAAGTTTTGCGATTTAGCAAGTTCCCTGTGACGCAGAGGAACTTCGCCCCCTGCTCCGACGGCGTACCCCGAGCCGGAAAGGCGACCAGGAGGAACTGGCGTCCAGGGCGCTCCGTGCGGGCGCTCACCCAGGCCTCATTCCGCCCTCACAGCAGCCTGCTTCACAGACGGGGACGCTGAGGCGCGGGGCTGGGGTCCGTGGCTCGGCAGGAGCGCGCCCGCGCCCTTGAGCGCAGCCGGGGCCTGCCACGCGCTGACGGAGGCCGCGCGCTGGGCCTTAGAGCGCGTCGGCCCGGCACCCGGGCCTCCACCGCGACACGCCTCCCACGACCGCGCTCGCGAGCCGGGGCGCTCGGCCGGCCGGGCACCGGAAGGCGCCCGCCGCCCCGCGCGTTCCGGCGCTCGCCGGCCCCCCTTCGGGCTGCCCCCTGCCGCCGCGGGGAGGCCCCAGCGCGGCCGCGCGGCCCTCGCGCCGCCGTCCCTCGCCTCCGGATTGGCGGCTCCAGACGACGCCGGGCCGCCCGCCTCCTGCCCCTGGATTGGCCGCGCCTGGCTGCCGAGGCCCCGCCCATTTCCCCGGGTCCTTTGATCACGCGCCTGCCGGCTCTTCCGGGGCCCCCGAGCCAACCGAGGGCGTTGCTGTCCGGGCTGCAGCGGCGGGAGGTAAGGCATGGCCAGGTCGGCCGGGCTGCAGAGCGCCGCACGGGTCCACGCCTCGGGGTGCCGGGACGCCAGGATGTCCGGGCGCAGGGCGGCCCCTGCGCGATTCCCCAACACCCCCGTCCCCGGCCTGATCCTCCCAGCGCCGTGGGAGCTACCTCCTGTCTGCCGGCGCTGGCCTGCACCCTAGGAGCGGCCCTCCCCACCCTGGCATACCCCTCGGCCTGGGACGGTGAGCGTGCGACTGGGGACGGGCAGCCTGGTGCCCCATGCCACACGGACACGGGGTAGGTAGCTCATACCTCGCCCTCTGATGGAGACCCAGGCGAACCCGGGTCCGGGACCTTGGGCCATTTACGTGCGGCTGCCCCAGGATGGTCTCCTTGCTTCCCTTGGTGGGGCTGACCCTCTCCACCTCCGCCTGTCAGCTCGGCCGGGAGAGGAGGGACCTGGGCGGAGCCCCGGGAGGAAACCGGAGGGAGGTGACATCATCTCGAAGATACAATCCAGCTTTACTCACTTGTGTCCACCATGGCACACGAGACCCATGGTGGAGTGTTCGGACTATATATCTGAGGTGACACCAGCGACAAGGAGGGCATAGAGCCCATGCTTGGGGCCCATGGCCTGAAGTGTGGGATTGGACCAGGACGGACGCCGGCTCCTTCAGATGCTCCCACCTCACCCCTCGGCTGCAGTGCAGGGCCTTCCTGTGTTGCCTGACCTCTCCTTTCTGCTCCACTGGATAGGGGCTGGTGACCCGGTGCCCCAGGAGGTCTGGGGCAGGTGCTGGGAACCTCACCTCATCTTTCCCCAGAAGCGGAGACCTGCATGTTTGGCCTCCATCTGATGGAGGGAGAGGAGCTAGCCAGGACTCAGGCCGGGATCAGAGATTTCCCCTGCCCCCTCCTTCCACCCACGATCTGCTAAGAGTCACTGGAGGGTTACAACCAGTCCTTTTACCTGGAGGAACTTCTTCCCAGTGTTGACCTGGGACCAGTTTTCATAGATGTCCAGCCTTGGGGGAGGGATCCAGAGGCTGGATGTCACCCTGGGTGCAGTCAGTAACCTCCCTTCCTCCTCCCCAGGGAGCCCACTGGAGGCGCCCTCCCGAGGCACCACGGCCCATGCTGACCACCCAGCCCTCCGGCTGCCGATGTCATGAGTAACACCACAGTGCCCAGTGCCCCCCAGGCCAACAGCGACTCCATGGTGGGCTATGTGTTGGGGCCTTTCTTCCTCATCACCCTGGTTGGGGTGGTGGTGGCTGTGGTAAGGAGCCCCCACATATGCACGTAGAACCACACCTTTGCTGTGGCAGAGGCTCGGTGGGCCTGGTCTGGCCGCAGTCTCAGCTGTCCTGTGAAGGATGTGGAGGCGGGCCCCTCTGGCTTGGGCCTTCCTGGGCTCAGCAGCCTCCACAGTGCTGTGTCTCTGTTCCAGGTGATGTATGTGCAGAAGAAGCAGCGGTAAGTATCCCTGACCCCAGTTCTACTCCTGGCCCCCACCGTGTTCTGCTTACATTTCTTCCCATGGGATTGGAGTTGTCTGTTGTAAGCTGTCCCTCAGCCATCCTGCTACAAGCCTGAAATTTGTTTTCCCTGCCCAGCCTCAGTTTACTCACTGGGGAGAGGCCCCTTTATACAATCAGGCTTGTATTTTTTGAGCCACAGTATGACCCAAAAGGCACCCACTGGAAGTGCCCCTCTGTGGGGTAGGGAGTGGAAACCAGGCAGGCAGGTCTTTGATGAGGGTCGTGGAGTCCCCTGGGCTGAGCCTCCTCCTTGCTCCCCAGGGTGGACCGGCTTCGACATCACCTGCTCCCCATGTACAGCTATGACCCTGCTGAGGAGCTGCATGAGGCCGAGCAGGAGCTACTTTCTGATGTGGGAGACCCCAAGGTGAGCGCTCTGGGGGTGCAGACTCAGGCAGAGGTGGGGGCAGCCCTGTTCCCACCCACTCTCCTGTACTGGAACCAGAGCCCTCAGTCGCCCCGACTTGGGCTGTGACCATAGCGAGTGCCTCTCCAAGTGCTTCGGACTCCCAGGGGCCAGAGCCCAGCCTTGTGGTGTGGTCTCAACAGGTGGTACACGGCTGGCAGAGCGGCTACCAGCACAAGCCGATGCCCTTGCTGGATGTCAAGACATGACCCGACACTTAGCCCCAGCCTCCAGAGCCTGAGGGTCTTGGGATGTCCAGGGCCCTGTGTTCTGCTCCCCTCCCACTTGCGCTCATTCAGCTCCCCCTGCTGGGGACCAGGTCGCCACACGGCCTGCTCCCAGCAGCACCCACTGTCCAAGCCCAGCACATCAGTCACCCCTACCCCACCGCCCTGGCTGTCAGCCCTCTGTGGGTGCTGAGCCCACCACCTACCCGCCAGGCACCAACAGGAGCTTTTCCTTCTGCCGTGGGAGCGGGGCTGGGAGTCAGCTTTGGATCCTAGCCCTCCTGGACTTGGCTTTGGCATAAATACCTGAGAGGACTTTTGAGTTGTCTCCATGGTGACCGGGCAGGGATGGGAATGTATAGCATTCAGTATATATATTTTGTAAATAAAATGTTTTGTGGCGAGGGGTGTGGTCAGTTTCACTGATCTGACTCCAATGCTGATTCTCCTCCCTCCCCCTCTCGTGGCCTGGGGCAGACCCCCCACCCACTGCACCCTCAGTTTTTACCCCACCTATCCCAGGCTGTGCACACACATCAGACTCCAGTCCAGAAAAGGATATTTTTTTTATTCAAGTAACTGCAAATAGGAAACCAGAGGGGGAGCCCCAGGCTGGGACAAATAACGGCTGCCCCCTCCCCGACAGAACAGGGGGAGGAGGTGGCCCCTACACCCTTCATGGTCAGTTTGGGCCCCCTCCTCACTCTGCTGCAGCATCCTAGGGGCAAGGCCCCACCTTCCCTGGGACTGGGGTGGTCGGTAACCCAGCCTGCTGCGCCCCAGCCCCCCTTCCCCACAAAGAGTATCTTGGGGGAGGGGAATGCGGGCAGAACAGAAGGCAATGAGGATGACCATTTGGCGCTGGTAGCAGCAGCAATGACGGATGTCGAAGAATGGAACATGGAACAAAAACAACACAACTGTCCAGAGGTAGTTTGTGAACAGAGGAAAGATGGAACCAGAACCTTGGGGGGTGGGGAGGAGCAGGAGGGCTGGGCACGGGCAGGGCCAGCTCCTTGTTACTAGAGCCCCAGCTTGCAGGGTGGGAGCGGGTGGGGTGCGGCAACAGACCCAGCCCAACTTAGGTGGCAGCCACAGGGACTCTGGGCCTCTCCTGGACAAGGGTGACTGCACCTCCATCACTCCAATAGGTACTCAGACCCCAGGCCAAGGGCTAAGGTGGGCTGGGGCCCCTGTGCAGAGGACAGGGGACTCATCCCTCCTGCCTTCCTGTATCCCAAAGGGGGCTGTCCAACCTAGTGCAGGGACTGGGGAAGGAAAGTGGGTGTGAGCCCCACATGGTGACAAAGATACAGGCTGGCTGGGGGCATCCTGGGGGCCAAGCACCCCCTCCATGGGCCACACCTGCTGCTGCCAGGACAGTGGAGTGGGACATGCCAGAATGAGATGGGGCTTGGGCCCCTTTTAAGGCCAGGGGAGCCCTCCCAGGCCCCTCTATGGGAAGCCAGAGGGAACAGTGGAGGAGCAGAGAGGGGCCCCCGAACCAAGAGCCCACAGAGCAACGTCCCCATCACCAAGGGAGCAGGGAGCGGGGACGCGGCAGGCGCAGAGTGCGGCTAAGTGGGACGTTAGCCTTGTCCAGGAGGGCGAGCGTGTGCGTGGGCGGGAGGGGTGGCTGGGAATGGAGGCCAGGGGAACACTGCTCCCACGCGGCCCACAGGGGCCCGCAGCAGCTGGTGCGCTGTAGTGTGTGGAGGCGAGGGCAGGGGCCGCGGGCAGAGGCGTGGTGATGGGGCCTGGGGAGGGGCAGTGGGAGCGGAGCAAAGCTGTCCAGTCCCAGAAAGAAGCTGCTCCTCCGTGAGGGAGCAGGCGGCACGCACGGTCACTGCTCCTCCTCTGAGGACTCCTGCGAGATGCCCTCCTCTTCCTCCTTCTCCTGTGAGGTGGGCAGAGCTGTCAGTGCGCGCTCTGGCCTGGCCCCTCCTCCTCCGCCCCCAGAGGCTGGCCCCTGGCCCCCTGCCCTCCCTGGCTCTCTGGAAGGGGGATGAGTCAGGGCTGAGTGTGTGGGTGACTCAGCAACCTCTACGGCCCGGTTTCATTCATAAAAAGGAAGAATTTAAAAGGAAGAAAAAACCCACACATTCTGCTCTCACCCAGAGCCAAGAGCCAGGCCTCCCTGGCCCCCAGGCCTGCAGAGGGGGCAGGGGGCATACCCGTGCACAGAGCTCAGGAAGGGGCGGCTCTACACGGGAGGGAACCTAGGGAAGGGAAATGGGAAGCGGTGGCTGGAGGGCACAGGAGCCCCAGTGGGTGCAGGGAACCAGGTGGCCTTACCCCACAGGTGGCCGAGAGCTGACCCCAGGCCAGGGTGGGGAGGAAGGGGAAGTGCTGCCGGGGCTCACTCACTGGGCGGGAATGTTGGGACACCACACATGGGGCTACAGCCCCCGTGACAGACACAAACTCCAAAACAACTTGTTTCCTGTTACTCACTCGTGGGGCCTGGCCAGCAGCATCCCCTAACCCCCACCCCACCCGTGGCTCAGCTCGAGGAATGACCGAAAGCCTCGGAGTTAAGGGGGCAGGCTAGGGGTAAGAATCTGCCAGGAGCTGGGAGGCTGGTGTGGCCCTAACAGCAGTGTACTCTGAGGGTACCCAGAGTCTTCTGACTCAACCAGCCTAGCCCCACCAGCTATTTGGGGGCCCAGAAATGGAGGTGCTTTCTGTGAGCAACTCCTACCCAGCAGTGACCCCTAGCCAGGGCTGAGCCCCGAAGAGGGTCACAGTGAGGACGAGCCTCACTGCTTCCCCTGTGGCTCTTTCATCTCTGTGACGGAGGAGCAGACTGCACGCCTCCCAAAATCGCCCAAGTAGTTCTGAGTCTGTTCTAGGAGCAGAGGAGGTAGAAACAGTCCCCCTTCTAGAGCAGGCCAGGATGTGGCCCAATTTGTACCTGGGACCCCTCACTTCTCATGGCACAGCCCTTTCAACGCCCCGGGCAACGCTCTCCCGCCCTGGGCCCCAAGGGCCAGGGAGAGCACGGTGGGTGCTTAGGTTGGGGACCCTCGTCTCTGCTTTATCACCTACCAGTTTTTTGGGTCTGCCCCTTGGTTTCCTTCCTGGAGTTGTGGCGGTTTTCTAGAGGGTAAGAGAAAATATCCCCTCAGTCAAAACTGCTCAACAATGGTCACCCAGTGACCAATGCCCGGGACAGTAGGGGGGCAGACCTGCCTACCTCTGCTCAGGGCAGTCCAGGACCCGCACCCAGCAGGTCCACCCAAGCCCAGTTGGCGATGACTGGCCAGCCACACTAGCCCCCCTCAACATACACACACGCCCCCTACTCCTTCCTCCACCCATGACTCAGAGGATATGAGTCGTGTCTTAGAAAAAATAAAATAAAAAACAAAACTTTTCTGAAAGCCTGATGCCACTGTGAATATGGCCTCTGCTGCTGTCCCCACCCCTTCAGGCTCCAGGGCACCCAATGGCAGAAGGTAATATTCTCAGCCCAGGGGTTGGCAGAGAGGCCTCCATTCTCCCACTCTGACTTTTTCCAGACCAGGAAAGCTGCAGGACTTCTGCCTTGCTTTCCTCATTGTCCTGTGCAGGACCAACCCCACATAAGTGAGGCCTCAGTCACCCCCCAGCTTTCCCCAACTAGCAAAGACACATCGCCACCCTGTGCCAGGGAAGGGGGTGCAGAGTCAGGACAAGCCAGCCCTTCCCAGACCTCCCTCCCAGCTGTGCCACAGAGAAATCAGAGAGAACTTTGCTCCACGTGTGCCCAGGAGTGGCCCCATCTCAAGCCTCACCCGGGTCTTGGCAGCACCCTTGTTTTTGCTTCCCTTTGGTCGGCCCCGAGGTCTCTTAGGTGTTGGCACTTCGCTGGGCTCCTTCTGCAAAGACAGATGGGGCAGTCAGAGACACAGTCACCACCTTCTCGGCACCTTCAGAAGACAGAGCCCCTCTGCGCCACCCAGCAGGATCAAGTCAGCAAGAATCACTCAGCCCAGGAGTCCATGTGAGCCCCGGCGGCAAGCCCTTTGGGACCTGTGGCCTCAACTGGGCCATCTTTGCAAAGCTCCTCCTCGCCTTCCCCATGAGTCCCTGGGGGTTTCTGGGACAACAAAATGGTCACAAGACCCTTGGGAAAGTTGTCCCAGGGACAGAAATACAACGTTAGGTGACTCTGCCTAAGGCCCAGTTCTGCCACTCATCTTGAAGACACCACGCTGGAGCCTCAGTTTCCTCACCTGTAAATGGTGATGAGACTTAGCTTGCGGGGTGCTATGAAAGTCAATGTGTGTTAAGTACCTAGCACCGGGCCAGGACTGCTGCCACCCGTCTAGGTGAGTCTGCTGGAGACTGCCGGGGATGCAGCCAAGGGGGAAGGGACCCTTCTAGGATGCCTCCAGGGAAGAAGAATTATGCCTGGACCCCAGAGATCCCTGCCATTGTTGCCACTGAAATTTTAATAAGCCCGAGACAGAATAAAAAGCTTCTGCATAATGCATAGAAGTAGGCAGCGAGAGCCCCGCCACTGCTGTTTCCCCGCGCAGCTGCCCATGGGCTGTTTGTGATTACCATGGTCCCGTAACCCAACACTGCTCCGGACACTGCCCCCATGACCACAGCTAACAGACAGGGACAGGCTAAGAGGAGGACAATTCCCCTAACCCCTGGCTCTGAAGGTGGCAGTTAAATGCCACTAGACTCCTCACAGCTCATGTCTCCTTAAGACCCAGAGACTCGCCATGACAGACCACACTCTGCCTTACAGGTGGGAAAGGCCTGCAGGTGCACGCTCTGCCCGAGGCTTAAGGGGCAAGAGTCAGCCTGGATTCCTTCCCTCACCTCTCCTCTTCCCCAGCTAAGGCCAGTGACTGGGCTTCCCAGCCAGCCCTCTCAGGGACAGCCGCCTCCGTGGGAAGCGAAGATCCCACCACAAAGGCCCAGCTGGCCGCACGCCCTAGGACAGCCCAGCGGCAGGGTGCTGTCTCGCCTGTGAGATCTTATGGGGGAGCAGAACCAGGGTTCTGAGGGTCACTGTCAACAATTCCCCAACATTTTTTACTTCTTGGGCTTCAATTTCCATTGAAAGAGCCAGGGGCAAAGCCCATTCCAGGACTACTCAAAGTATGGCCTGTGCAGAACCAGCCTGGGACGACAAGTTCAGAAACTGACAGTAAGTTGCGTAGAAACTTACAGCAAACTGACAGTAATTTTATATGCACTCAATCTAATTATTAAAACCTTGGGTTTTATGTGTACTTATTTTCATTTGCTAATTCATTGGTCCATAGAACGGGAAAAGGAAAAAGCGGGTGGTTCACCATGGCATAGGCACTGGCCCCAGCTCCCTCTGGGGTCTCAGGAGGGTCTGACCAGTCACACATGGGGCAGGAGCACACATAGGTAGGGAGGACACGTACACACACAGGAATGATTCTGCACCCCTCCAGCATGTTCCCACCTGCTGAGACACCAGGCCCCTCCCTAGCCCAAAAGGGAACCCGAGGCAAAGATTCCGACACCCACCTGACTCCCTACCAGCGCCGTCCCGGGACTCACCGGAGGCTGCTTGCGCGGCCTGCCGCGGCCCCGCTTCTCGGTGCCGTCCTTTTCCTGCTTGGAGGCCAGGGGCTGGCTGGACTTCGAGCTCGACTCGCTCATCTTCCCTCCTCTTCGGAGCAGGTGGCAGAGTGGTGGCTAGGATGCTGGGAGATGGGAAGAGGGGATTTAAACAAACACCTCTCTCGGGCCACTCCCTAACCCCTTACTACCCCCTATCCCCAAGGCACACTGCAGGGAACTGCCCGCTCCCAGTGGACCCCAGGCCTCCAGCCCGCCCAGCACAGAGGGGTCTGCCACCCCGGCATGCTGCCACAGGGTGGGGCAGGGCCGTTGGCCCTAATCAGCTCCTTATCTCCTCTTCAGAAGGGCTCTTTGTTGTCCTGCCTGACACCACCCCACAGACTTGGAGATACAGCCAGCCCAGACCCAGCTGCATGGGTGGGGCAGAGGTGGCACCTGAGGGCTGATATAACAGGACCCCCAGCTGCCCGTTCTTTAAGGGGAACCTGGGCAGTTCAGAGGGGACTAGGAAAGAAAGTGGAAAGAATGAGACCTTGGCATCTGGCAGCCATGGCCAACAATCCCCTGTCCAGCTCGCTGACGGTACCTGCCCATGGGGCAAGGTCCAAGCCTCAGAACTAAATGCTAAATTAAATGCTAAACCGAGAAAGCATCAATCACGCAACCAGGGTTGGTGCCCACCCACCAGGCTCTCTGCTCTGAGGGTAAAGCCCCAGTTCAGAGATGGGGAGGGCCGATGGAGGAAGATGGCTAAAGCTGCTGTGGGTAGGGTGGGAAAGGAAAAGGGGCCCAGAGCCAAAGGGTGTCCTCCTCTCTCCCCGCGTACAGTCAGACGGGCAGGGAATTCTCCAACTGACACGGACCCTCCTGACAGACCCTAGCTGGCCCCCTGGGAACCTGGCAGGGCTGACCCTAAAAGCTTCTTGGTCCTTTTCTAGCATCTTTTCAGAGGCCTGCTGGGGTTTAGTTCACCCCATTCATTCTGAGTTTACCTAATACCGCCTGCTGCAAGGAGGGCCTGCACTGTGTTATTTGGCAACGGCGAGGGTCTTACATTAACTCATCCCACTTCTTATCCCCAAGTTATAGACAAGTGAGATCCAAGAGACCTACAGTGACACTTTCCCAGTAACCAAACCCTCGCCCTTGGTGAAAGGTGGGCCTAGTAGCTCCGCTTCTGAAAGCTTCCCAATCTGAAGCCTCCCAATCCCTGAGCAGGGTAACGACAGGGCACCTGACCAACCACCTCCCCGGACTGCTTCAAGGATCAAACTAGGTTAATAGTTTAAAAAAACTTAACAAAGAAATCTTCACCCTACCCAAAATAAGAACTAGACCATTTGAAAATGACTTTTCTTTCCTCTTTTCAGCTTTTGAAGCAATTTCTAATTTTAACCCAATGAGAGGAAAAAACATTTTCACAAACTTGTGATTTCTGGAGAGCCTGAGCTCCCCCCAACTGCCTCCCCAACCCCCGCCTCAAGCATCAAGCGACCTTCCAGACAGCAGAACTTTGTCTGGTAATTACTCTATTTTATAATATTTTAGACTTCGAGACCCTCTTAAACAAGGTGGTTGGTGATTTATCCTGCTCCGTCATTAGTGGCTGGGCCTGCTCTGTAATTACAGGCAGTGATTAGAATCTTGTATTACACCACAGGTCCCCCTTCAAACTAAACATCAAAATTAATCAGCTAAATGAGTGCTGCCCTCACATGAGGTCTGCCTGAGGCCCCTCACGGAGGGGGTTCCAGTTGGGCGAAGCCAGTCTGGAATCCCTGAGAGCCCGTGCCGCCGCCTGGGGATCCTGATGGGTCTCCCCTGGAAGCCTTACTTGTACCATCTGGTGCCTTCCCCCATCTCCTGGGGCTGGGGACCCTGTGGCCCACCCCTCCCCCACAGCCAACCCCCCAGAAACTGAATGAAGGCCTAAGGCCCACGTCTCCTCCACCTGTTTCTGAACACCAGAGAAGCCCCTCCTGGAGAAGTCACATTTAGGGCCAATCCCAATCCCTCAGTTTGCAACGAGCCCTCTGGGGCCTCAAGCCTGTCTCCATACACCTCTGTGAGCTCCTCAAACGCCTAAGGACTCTGCAGGAATTACCCTGGGAAATCACCATGGCCTTTACTTTAAAAAATAAATAAATAAAAGGTAGCCCAGAGAAGCCTGATGAGCTGCCCAAGGTCACACAGCAAATTGGCTAGCAGGATGGAGTAGGTTCCCGGTGGCCCTTCCAGCCCGCCACTTTGCTTCCCGCCTAGAGGCTAGTTTAAGACCCTGTGGCATCCTGCTCCAGCCCCGGACCTAGGGTGACTCTGCAAGTGTCTGCACCAGGCCGTTGTAGGCCGACCGGCGGGACGAGGGGCCAAGGCGCGCGGGGGGAGGGGCGCAGGCCGCTCCTGCAGGCGCGGGAAACCAGCGCACCCCGACCGCATGCACCGCCGCGCGGGTGCACCGGCCCCACTTCCTGCCAGAGGGGGCACCCAAACCCGCCTTGGGGCAGGAAACCTGGCGCGCGATGGCGCGGGGGACAGGAAGAAAGCCCCCTCCCGCTGCACGCCCTCCCCGCAAAAATAGAACCCCAGAAAAAAACAGAAACGGGGAGTCAAAGGGACTAGTTCCAACAGAGCCCAGCAAAGCAGAGAAACCAGTTTGTGGGGGCGGAAGGCAGGCCCGGCCCTGGGGGCGGAGGAGGCGCGGGCCAGGCCAGAGGTGGGGTCGGGGTGAAGCCCCAAACCCAGGCCCGCGATCCGGCCTCATCTGCGTAGGGGACACCTGGCGAAATAACGAGAGGGAGGGCCGAATTTCGGGGTTCCTCCCCATTCCCCTCACTTCTAGAACTTCCCCAGGCTGCAGGGGCCCCGGCCCCCCACTCGCGCGGCGCCGCAGCCCGTTCCTCTCCCCGCCCCGGCTCGGGCGGGAGCGGCGCCGCGCGAGGTGCACTGGGCTCCGCCGGGTGCACAACTCGCGCTCGCCGCAGCCGCGCGCCCCCTCCCCCACCGCGCGCCTTTCCCGGGTCCCGCCCCGCAGGCGTCCGCGGCCGCGGGCAGGGGCTGGGGCCGCCCTCCCCGCGCCGCGGGCGCCGCCCGCCCACCAGCGGCGCGCGGACCCTCCCGCCGCCGGTCGCGCGCCGCCTGGAATCAAAGCCGGCGGCGGCGGCCGCCAGCCCCGCGGCTCGCAGGCGACAGGGGCGGCGTGCACGCGGGGGCGCGGGCGCCCCTCCGCCGCCGCCGCCGCGGGCCCCGGGGACGACTCACCGCGAGCTCGGCCGCCGGCCTGCGGTGCGCGCTCCGGGCTGCGGGTAGCGACGGTGCTGGGCGCTGGGGACCGGCCTGCCTCCGCCGCGGCCGCCGCTGGTAGCAAATGCGGATCTGAAACCGGGAGGGAGAGCAGAGGCGCTCAGAGACCGCCGCCGCCGCCGCGTGCTCGCCGCCCAGGCCCCCGCGGGGTATTTATGTGTCACATCCAGGCGGGGGACAAAAATATCCCCCCTCCCCCGAAGGATGGCGAGGGGCAGGAAGCCGGGCACGGCCCGTGCGCGGCCTCAATAAATAAATAATTTAATTAAATTATAGATATGAAAAAAAGAAGCCACCGGAGCGGCCGCGAACTCACGCCTTCTTGGAGCCGTGCCAGCGCCAGAAATAGCCCCGGCTCGGAGTCCCAATTAGAGGAGCGCAGCCCCGGCTCAGGGGAGCTTAAAAAGAGCGACCCAGGGGCAGGGGGGACGGGCCCGCCCGCGCCAGCCGTGTCACCGAGGGGGCGGGGCCAGCGAGTCCGGGGATTTAAAAGGGCGGCCGCCCGCCAGCCGCCGCCGCGCGGGTGGGTGCTGACGGCGGGAGGGGCGCGCGGGGCCTGGGCTGCGAGGCGAGGGACGCCCACTCCTCGTGGTCTCGCGCCGGGAAGATGCCGGAAGGGCCTCGCAGAGGAGTCCCGAAGGAGCTTTCCACGGGGGAGAGCTGGCCTCCTCCCTCCCTGGAACGGGGCTTCCGGGGAGCGGGCCCTCTGGGGTCTTCTGGGCGTGGGGTCTGCTCCCCTCAGGGCGTGCGGGGGCGGGCGGGCGTCCACGCGGGCCGGGCGGGTGCAGGGAAACGCGCCAGTTGGGAGAATTCTGCGGCCTACACGCCTCCCCCTTCGCCCAGATAGACGGCGCGGATTTCCCGGGCGGACAGGTGTCAGCATGTGCATTTCAGTGTCAACCCGCGTGTGGCTGACTGGTGCAATACAAGTCTTGTGAAACTCAAACGTGAAACTTGTGAAACCCAAAGCGTTTTAGTTTATTAAAGGCCACGAGCGACCATAGTCAAGGTGGAGCCTTCAAGCGAAACAAACGATTGGCTCGTTTGCAGGTACACCCGAGGGAGGGTTCGTTGCTTTAGGTGACCTGGCTGGTGTTCGGAGGCTGGCGGTCCCTTTCGCTGTGCTTTAACAAAAAGAAGGGTGGGCCAGAGGTCGCCTGGAAGCGCTTTGAGGGCAGGGAGGGCGTGCGCGCTCACCCGCCGGGCCGGCCCGCGGCGCCCGCCCAACAAAGACCTGTTGCGCGGGGCGGGGAGGAGGCCCAAGAGGGAAGATGGCGGGAGGCGATGGGGAGAGAGGGCGCCGGCGGGCGGCGCGCCCTGCAGGCCGGCCGGGCCTTCTCGGGCGCACCTCCCGGCGCCTGTCCCTGAGGCGGCCTTCCACACCTCCCGTGATGCAGGGAATTGCAATGCGGCGCAGTGACACACGGCTGTGACTCATGCTTTTCTTTGCTCCCCTTCTTCCTCCCCGGTCAGCCCAGGCCCTGGCCCAGCCCCCTCCTCGGGGGGCGAGCTGGCGGGGAAGGGGGGACGCAGGAAAACCCTGAGCCCGGAGTGGAGGCGGGGTGGGGAGCTGGAGGGGCCGGGCCTCCTAGTTTCAGGAATGTTTCAGGAATGTTTCCGGTGGGGGTGGGGAGCAGAGCGGGCAGTGGGCCCAGCCCCCACCACGGGGCAGCGGGATGGCGCTCTGGGCCCGGCAGCACGTGCTCGGCCGGGTGGGGGCGGGGTGGCTGGGCGGGAAGGCGCTGGAGGCCGAGAGCGCGAGTTCAAAGGGGAGGGCGCGGGCCAGGGGCCGGCCCGGCCTGGGGGTGGGCCTGAGGCCGCCCTCCGCGCCGGCTCCCGCCCCGCGCCCAGGTGAAACGCAGTTCCCCAGAAGTCCCGGGGCCGCCCCTGGAGAGAGAGGAAGTCACCGAAGGGCGGCCTGAGAGGAGGGCGGAGGGGGAGAGCTGGGGGAGGGGCGGCCTGCCCCTTTGTCTGGAGCCTGGGGGTGGGGGTGGGGCACGGTGGAAGCGCGCCGCGCCCTCCATCTTTGTGCCCGGGGTGCCGGGCTGGCGCTTAGTAGGCCGCGAGTGGCGTTGGTGGAGGGCACTAAGTTCCGAGCGCGGGAACCTTTGCAGCGTTGAGTGGAGGAGCGGTCCTTCAGTCTCTCTTCCCCGTGCCCCAGGTCACAGGCCCCTGGCAGCAAGCTGGGCCCTCAGGCCTGGGCCAAGGGTGGCCCTAGAGCCGTGCCCCAAACACAGCCCTCCCCGAGGCCGCCTCGGCTTCCAGGCCCGGGGTTTGGGGACTGGCGGCCTGGCACCTGGGGCGGTGCGGAGAGGGTCCTGTCAGTCCCCTCGCTCGGACGTGGCCAACCTGTGGCCCTCCCTAAGAGGGACTTCTGCCTCGAGTGGGCTGTGGGAAGACTTGGCCAACTTTTGGGTCCGCTCCTGCCAAGCCGACTGGATCTTATTTTCCTACTCTTCCTTTACCGCTCTTCTTGATTTCCTCGCCGACTTGTTTTTTACCTTGTGTTGTGTGTATTTTTGTAAGCCACCTCAAACCCTGGCTGGAAGGAGGCAGGTATAAATAAATTTGTAGGCAAATAAATAGAGTAGGTTGTTCCCGTCCAGGATTACCCACACCCTCAAAATCCAAATAACTCTCTACCCACTGACCCTCACCCCATACTTTGTGCATTGCAAATACCCTGAATTCACTTCCTTTCCCTTCTTTTCTCTTTCATTAAGTGTTGAGCAGAAGAGGGAGTGGTAGGGATAAAAAGAATACAATGTAGATTCTATCCCAGCAAATTTCATGTCTGGAGACATCAGGATTAGGAATACACTAGAGAAACCTGAATAACAATGTAGGAGATGCTGAGACAGAAAACATTTAATTTGGAATTTATTGAGAACCTACTATTCACCAGGAGCTGGTCTGAACTCTTGGAGTGGAATCAGTGATCGAGGCAAAGTTCCCTGTACTTTTGAAACTTAGACCCGGGCCCAGGTGCTTAAAATAAGACTTAGTAGGAGCTGCAGGAGCAGAGGTTGGGACCCCAGGGTGGTCAGGGAAGTCTTGCAGGAGATGGGCTTGAGCAGGCCTCATGAGACTTGGACAGGTGGGTGCCTGAGGGGCGAGAGGCAGGGTAGGCAGGGAGAGGGAGCTACTCTAGGCCTGGGGCATTGGCCACTTAGCCAAGGCCTGAGAGTTCCCAGAGGAGTTGGTTGATGTCAGACCGAGTCTTCACAGGCAGCATTTTCAGGTGATCAGAGTCAGATTAAACACTCCCTCAAAGACAGCCCAGTGAGCTTCAGTGAACCCAACAGGAATGTCCAGGGAATGGGGAGTTCAGGTCAACTGCATGTCTCAGAACAGCTGACTGCCATTCTTATTTTCTAGAAGAGTAGATGAAAAGACCAATGTGGGTAGTTCCATTTAATGGTTGGGTTAGTGGTGGTTTTCTGAAGGGTTAGTGCTAAGGTGTGAGAATGTTCTATGTGTCCAACCCAATGTGAAAGGCAGATGGGACGGGGTAGAGGAGGAAAAGAACAAGAATTGTCTAACCTACTGTCCAAACCAGGATAGATTTTTGTTTGTTTGTTTGTTTTTCTTTTTTCTTTTCTGCCTCTGACTTCTACAAACCAGGATAGTTTTTGAAGTAAACCTTTTACTGATGAAAACTATACATGCTGAAATTGCACAAATCATGTGTTCAGCTTAAAACATTTTCACAAAGTGAACACCTTTGTGTCACCAGCACCCAGATCAAGAAATAGAACATCCCCAGCCCCGCAATGTCACCGCTATGCCAACTTCAACAGCATCGTTTAGTTTCACCTATTTGTGTGCACATACGGCATCACACGTGATGTACTCTTGGGTTAGTTTCCTTTGCTCAACATTATGTCTGCGAGACTCATCCATGTTATGCGTGTGGCTGCAGAATGTTCATTCTGACAGCTGCATAATTACACGATGTGAATGTTACACAATTTATACATTCTGTTGAAGGGCATTTGGACAGTCTCAGGGTTGGGGCTATGACATGTAGTGCTGTCGTGAATATTCTAAAATATGTCTTTGGTGAGGTGATGTGCAAATTTCTATTGGGCACATGCCCAGGGGAGGAATTATAGAATGGGATCATAGAATGTGTGTGCTCAGCTTTAGCAGATGAGTAGAACACTTCATAGTGAAAGAGGGCTCTGCTAATAGACCAGACATCGGGCAGAAACCTGACCTGGCCCGTATCAACTAGGAATGAGCCGGGCAAGACAGAAGTGGAGTCACCCTGGTACGTAGTGTTTGAACACTCTCCTCCGAAGTCACCCGGCTACTAGTGCATCTGGTCATCGGGCAGGATCAGGCCTCCGGACTCTGCTGACCACAAGCCCTGATGCCAGGAAGCCTGGCAGGCCTGGAATGGGAGGAGGGCCTCTTCTTGTTCCAACTTTCGAGGGAAAACCTCTCAAGGGAAAAGGAGGGCTCAGGAAGCAAGCAGGCACCTCTCTGCCTCCCTGCTGTGAGCTGGTGACCCACCCTGCAGTGGCCCCAAATAGCCATAGACTTTATCAGCTTCCTTCTTCAGGGCTGGATCCCCAGGAAAGCCCAGCCTGTCTCCAGTTTCAGAAGAAATCTGAGGGAAAGGCAGAGGCGATGAACACATGCTGAATGCATCGTTTTCTCAGATCCCTTGACATCCATACTGGTCGGTAATGCTATTGGCCCTATTTTACAGGTGTTAAAACTGAGTCTTGGCCGGGCGCTGTGGCTCATGCCTGTAATCCTAGCTCTTGGGAGGCCGAGGCGGGCGGATTGCTCAAGGTCAGGAGTTCAAAACCAGCCTGAGCAAGAGCGAGACCCCGTCTCTACTATAAATAGAAAGAAATTAATTGGCCAACTGATATATATATAAAAAATTAGCCGGGCATGGTGGCGCATGCCTGTAGTCCCAGCTACCCGGGAGGCTGAGGCAGAAGGATCACTCGAGCCCAGGAGTTTGAGGTTGCTGTGAGCTAGGCTGACGCCACGGCACTCACTCTAGCCTGGGCAACAAAGCGAGACTCTGTCTCAAAAAAAAAACAAAAAAAAACTGAGTCTTGGTGCAGTTAAACAGCTTAGGATTCTGCATCTTTCTCCTCCACTGCTTCTACTCCCAGGCCAGGTGGGCTTGCTGCCTCTTCCCAGCTTGGTCAGACAGATTCCTCCAGGTACCACCATGAGCACTGAAGATGTGGCCTTGAAATGGGAAGCTACATTTCCTGTCCTAAAGGGCTTACATCGGGTTGGGGGGGACAGACGAGTACATGGGCAATTTCACCAGCATTGTACATGCTGCAGGGGGGCCTGGGGAAGCACAGGGCAGGGGCTGGGGTGTGGGTGGAGCCTCCCAAGAGGCCCTGGAGACAGGCAGGTGGCATGGGGATGGGCTTGGGGCTGTGGGCTGGCATTAGCCATCATTCTCGGCATTCCTTTGAAGCTAGTTGTGGATGTGAATTAGGTCCCACCAAAGAGGTGAGGGGAGGGAAATGGTGCTGTGCT